CCTAGTATTACACATGGACTTTGTTCTTCCCTTGCAGGATCTTATGAGCAGGATCATAAATTACCAGGATCTTATGAGCAGTATCTGTTCACAAACTGCCCAAAGACATCAGGAAAAACTGTCACCTTGCTAAAGAGGGCTGAAAAGTGATGGACTTCAGTGTTGTTCAGAGTGTCAGAGGCAATCCCCAGAACCAGATGAAATTGTGGAGAAAGAATAAAGCACTTCACAGTTGCATATTCTCCTGTGGCAGAATATCAGAGACAACAAAGCTGTGAAATGAACATACATGAGCAAAACAACACTGCAAGCAGAATGAGTGAACCTGATCTTCCAAGGAAGCACAACTCGAGAGCTAAGTGTTAGTGCCAGATTTCTTAACGCACTCTCCCTGACTAGGTTATTCTTTCTCTTGGTATTAGGAGAGGCAGGAATTGAAGGAATATGGAGGCAAAAAAAACCCAGCTAAATATTACAATAATAGAAAGTTGCACAGCTAAGAACTACAACTCCTTCAACTACTGTTCCCAGGAAACTGAGTATTCTTGACAGTAATTATATTGCCCCATTGCTCCATCTTATTCCTCTATCCTAGGCCATGCTGTTGGCCACTGACAAAAATAGGATGCTTGGCTGAAAAGCCTTAAGTCTGATTCAGTCAGGTCTTCTAATTGGGGGCCAACAGAAAGAAGATGCTATACAAAAGTCAAGAGTAGACACACACATAACAGCATGATTAATTTTCTAAGGTCTCAATAGTTAAAGCATTCAGACAGAACAGAAGCTCCCAGAGAACGGAGGAGCAGCATTAGCTCATCTACTCTCAGCATGACTTATCACAGAGCAGGAGGTGCAGCTTTAAAAGAGAGGCTGTGACTCAGTCTACCAGCCACAGCAATGATAAGCTTAAGCGATGCATGTATAACATCCCACTATGAACAACGCACAAGTATGTTTTTCAATTGTGTGACAAAGCTTTCAAGTTTTTGCAGATCAAAAGAAATTTGGTTTCCTGGACTAATTGCACATTTATTTTGTGTGACAAAAGTAATTGTGTTTATCTGTTTAGAAAAAAAAGAAAAGAGAAAAGAGAATTAAAACTCTTTTACCTCACCAGTACTGTTTGCTATACAGTAAAAAACTATAATGGGGAAAAATCTGTTGCTCTGCTGATTCTCCAATCCTCTCCTCAGTGACAGGAGAAAATGTAATAGTAGAAGGCCTTTTCAGCTGTGGCACTTGGAACACAGTTTCCACAGGGCTCTTCTCCTGAACTCAATACTTCACAGGACATCACTTCTGCTCTGTATTTCAGATACCGCTGGCTTCTGCTCCCTGTCCCACTGTGGACTTGCAGGTGCTGATGCACCTGCTCCCACTCACAGAATCACCTCAGCATTGCTGCTTGCTCTGTCAGCAGACACTGAAAACAACACAGGTCTGCATGCTAGCTTGATACTGGATCTCTGGGTTTAGACTGTCATACTCCTGACTCTCATCACCATTGTAAGACAAAAACCAACTACAAAATTTCTTGAAAGGCTGAAAATACCAATGACAGGAAACATGCAACCACATATTTCAACACAAGTGGGCTCTTCATCCCCATTTCTGCAAAGTGCCATGAATGTATTCAGTGCTTTCCTCTGTCATTGACTTTAAAGGTCATTTGTCAGCACTTGGCAGGGGATGGCCCTCACTACAAATGTTGGCCTTGAAAATATGACAAAGAGCAGAAGTAAGAACCTGTTCAATTATAGTGAAGGTTGTTAATACAGAAAAAGAAACTACAAGGATATAGAATAATAATCTGCATAGGTAAACATGTTTATAATGGAAAACTACATTTAATAAGTAGTTTATTTATTAATGAAAGTTTGGGAAAAAAGGGATCATTACCACTGTAGTAGAAATAGCATACTGTGATTCTGGACTAATAAGAAAAACTTAATTATTTTAGGTTTCATGTGTCAATAAGAAGTCACTATTCAGTTCATGATAAAACAGGTAAAAATGATGAAAACAAATTTTTTTACTGGTAGGAAATTATGAGATATACTCTTAACAAAGACAAAGACTTTTTTAATTATGTTCATTATAAAGTCAAAATTTATCAGCCTGATAAGGTAAAAAACACATAAGAAAAGGATTGAGTTATACAAAAAATCTAAAACCAGAAATACAGACAATCCTATTTTTAAAATTGAATTTGGTTTGGAAGTCACAAAGTTGTCACCACATAGAATTATTCCTTGCTCTATTTTACCTAGGAATCTCTTGCACTAAGCAACCCAAAAGTGGTTTTTCTTTAGCAAGTAACAGTTATGAAAGAAATAAATTCTTGAATAACAACTTAACTCATGAAAAGGACAAAACACTAAATTAATCATAGGCCATGCTATTGTATCCATACCAGACACCCCTGTACATTCCTGACATTGACATTCTTCAGCTTTACTTCTTGAAAGTAAAACAATGTTAGCAATTAGGAATGGGCACACCTTGTATATAGATAAAGATATAGACATAGATATAGGTAAGGATATAGATACTGATATACAGATATATAAACATACTTCTGAGATGTTGTTGTGGGATTCAGCTTGGGAGAGAAGAATTAAAATTGACATGACTTTCTTAACAAAAATTGAGGAGCAACAACTCCTTAATTATTTTTTGTCAATAAGTAAACACCCTTTTCTCACCCTTTTTGCCTCTATTAAAACAAGAATATTCCAAACTATAAGACATATTTGAAACAATTATTGCAAATAGAGATTTTTTCAATGCTGTCCATATAACCTGCCTGAACACCTTTAGCCTTGATGCATGAGGAGGCTCAGCTCCATCACTGAATCTCAGTGAATATGGCAGGAAGGGGAGGAGAACCAAACTTTGGTAGGCCATCTCTATAGCTTACTGGGCTTTAGGGAATGCATGAATACAATAAATCCAGCTTATCAATGTCCTCTTTTCATTTGTTATGTATCCTACTTACAAATAATATGTTTTCTTAACTCACTCAAAAGTGTTGACTTTTGCTGCCTGTTTCTACTGAGATGTGAATGGTCCTTGCTCAGTAATCCAATTAACTGTTCTTTAAAAGCAGCAAGATGTAGCTATAGCTAGGTCAGAAGACCAGACATTTAGAGAGCAAAATGTCAGGCACAAAGCAGCAAACCAGTAAATTCTGCATGAAAATAATCTGCCCTGTATCTTATCAAGATATCAAATTCTACAACTATGTGGACTTGTGGAATACAGACTTTAAAGTAAGTAGGTAACTTAAAATGTATCTTTGATGATTTTTAAGTTGTCTGTAGGCTTCACATTGATTTACATTTACTTATGTTTTGAAATACTACCTGTAAAAGAAGACAGCTCTTGGAGTTCAGTTCTCTCATAAAATAAAAACTTATGTGCGCTCTGAGTCTCAGTACACGCAAACCATCTCAGCAAGCAAAACCAAGAATTTTTTTGTTCTGCTAGCTGAATTCTAATTCTGTCAAATTAGTAACCGAAATTCATCAGACCATAAGAGTTACTGCTGCCCTCTACCAGCAGTCCTCCATGGCTGAAATGAGGAATGCCATTCCTTAAAAAGTGTTACAGCTTGCTGTATCATTGAAGGTGAACTGAGCTTACTAAAATCTTACTAGACCACAAGTCACTCCATGTCTCCAACCTGACAATTTTTGTACTCCAGATAAGCATATTGAATGTATGTGTTTATATAAATTGCATTGTTCAAAACAAGAATTCATAATTTTATACAGTTTAAAACAATATAAAACACTGTGCAGATTATTCTTAATATCCTAGATCTATATGTGGAAAAATAAATTATAGTAATTTATATAATAAATATATAATAATAAAAAAAACCAAATTTCAGTCATTAACTAGCTTCCTTGTCTAATAGCCATTGAGAAAACTTTTTAAGCTATTTTTTAATTATATTATGCTATGCTTTAAAAGCAAACAAAACTTAAACATAATTTACACATCAAATTTTCATAACTGAGATCTAGTTAGTCAAACCACATTTCTATCTACAGAATATATCAAAAATAATTCCCAAACAGAAGGGAAGACTAAATATTTTGTCATTAAGTGCAATAGTATTTTTCCTGCATTCTTTAGGACCAGCAGTTTTTAAACACAGATTATGATTAACAACTTTAAACAAGCAAGCATTAAGTTCATACTAATATTTCATGCTAATTTCATATCTGTACAAAGAACAATCAGCCACCAAACACTTATGGAGACAAAATCCTTTTATTTTTTATTAAAGTTTGCAAGAGGGGACTTAAAAAAAGGACAAACCCACAAGCTTTACCAATCATACCAAATTTATATTAGATATATCTACTGGTATGTTTACCTGTCTGTTTAAAGCAGCTTCCATAAGAAAGTTTGGAATAATATACCAGTAATACTGATACACAATAAATTAATAATAATATTTAAGATGTATTAGGCATTTTTGAGTGAAAACAATCATGCTAAATAAACTGATTCAGGCAGTAATAATAAAAGCTTTAACTGAAAACGCACATTTACAGTCTCTCCTAAAAACAAGCAGAACACTGCACCAACCTAAGCATTAGCTCAATTAAAAAAGGGGGAAAAAATGAAATCCCTTCTCAGCTTAATAACTTGTTAGTTCTTGACAAGTGCAACAACACAACAATAAGCCAGTCAAAATGAGTTTTTAAAGCGAGGTTATGCCCTTCATGTTGTGTTATCACAGTGGCAGATCAAACTGCTGACTTGGACTCTTTCTGCCAGCAATGCTGATGCTGCCTCTATGAGCTACTGTCACAGAATAGTCATGGTACCTGTTCTCGCCTATAGAAAAGCACTAAATTGAACTCGAAGTAGTGTCTTTGTGATATCTTTTCAACAAGTCATGTCCCATTCAGCCTGCTAGTTTATCTCTGTCATGCTGGGGGCCCAAGTGGTTTGCATGAGCTGTCAGGGACGGGTCTACCAACCTGCTTAGTGCTAAGGAGGTAATGCATCTTTCGGGCTTGGTATTTCTTTTCCTTTTCTTTCTTTTCCAGGTCTTTCATTTTCTCTTCATTTTCCTTCATATCTGCAAATTCTTGAAGTTCATACCTGTAATAAAATAAGTCCACTAACTATATTATAACAACAAAAGACATGCTAATCTTTTATTTTACTTTAACCCTTTCATAGCTTCACAGTGTTTTGTTCTTATATATTGGCAGTATACTGACACCACTGGAATGTAAATTTACTGTTCTTTCAGTTCCACAGCAGTAGGATATTACATGGATATAACTAAGAAGAAACAGGATTAAAAGGATCAAAATTAGGAGCAGTATGTAGGTTCACATTGCTTACAGCTTGATGAAATAGTATTCACGCAAGTCCTTTTATTTGCCTTTAAGTGTCATTTTACTTTGAATTTCTCTAAGTGGAAGCTATTATAATATGAATATGGGTTGTTCACTTATGTTTCAACTAGTGCCTTGCAACACCTCCTGATCTGCAGACAGGGGAGATTTTATGGAATGAGAGAGGATAACAGACATGGGATAGGAGATTACTCACTCCTGGATCCTTGAGTAAGGCTGAGAAAAAATGGCACAGAGGAAAACGGGATGGGAACCTTTCATGCACTCAATGTCCTTAGGAGGAGTTTCCATGGCATTGGGCTCCTTGCACAGGTAATTTCTGCTCTGATTTGATGAGAACTGTAGAGGCCACCACAAGAGCCAGGAACTCAACTGCTTCATTAAGCCCTGCACAACAGTGGTGCGCAAACACACAGAGCCATCTAAATGTGTGAGTCTGTGCAGAAAACCCATTCAACATAAAAGAAATATGGAACTATATCCAACACCAGCTTTCAAAGAATGGAGAAAATTCATTATTTCAACTGAATGTTTACAGGAAAACTTGGACAGAGAATGGGCATAGATTTCCAAATCGATGGTGGGGTTTTTTTTTCACAGAGCCAGGCTTGCCATAAATTATGCAAACAGCAGAGTGAATTAATGTTCTAAAAGAAACAAAATTCTGCGCTATTGTGCACAGTGCACGTGTATAGCATTTTGTGACCCAGTTAAAAAAGGTTAGTTTGATTAACATTTGTTAATTTTGTTATTACAAAATGGCTAGTTCAAATTAACCTGTGTGCCAAAGAAACCAAACATATTTAGTCAAGCATTTAGATTGCTAAAAGGTTTAATTAGGTGAGTAAATTCTAGTCTCTATGTTTTCTAGTGTGTGTATATACAATAAAATAAAAAGAAAAAATATTATTCACCTAACTAAATATTCATAATTAAAATATTCCAGCAAAACAGATTATTTAGAAGTCCACATTAATAGTCTCAGTTGTTTCAATGAGTACCAAATAAGATACTGGGAGGATATGGGTCAAATAACGTCAAAATATGCACATGGGCAAGTTTGCTGATATGAATGATCCCATGTAAAAGTAATATTGCACGCAAAAGTCTTTTTTAAAGATTGTTACTCAGACTTACTCTTAATATTTTAGTTATCATTAAATTAGTTCATCAAAATATATGAAAGAGCAATAATTGGTTTACAAATATGAACACTGAAATCACATTCTTAAATACAAGTTGCAGTACTTATATTCGTTTCATGCTATCTTTCAAAATTTTATCAATTAAAATAAGTAAAATATTAAGTAATTAAACATTTTCTTTCAATTGTAAAAGAAAAATAAAATTAAAAGGAAATACAAATCAGAAAAGACGCACAGGTATTTTTGAATCTCTGAAAATATTTTTTGTAGCAGTTTACTGTTAAAGGCTGCTTCTACAATATTTCATACAAGGTTACTTATGAAGCACACTGACGTTTAAAAATCACCATGCTATGCTTTTGCAACAGTGTAATTTTTTTCCAACATAAGATTAAATTGCAAAATAAATGAATTACTTAGAGTGGCATGGCCCCCATTTTGCCACCCTTCTCTTGAAAATTGCTTATTAATATGAAAAAAGAAGTTGGAAAATAGCCTGTTTTACTTTATGCATAGCGTTCTGGGGCCTCAAAGCCTGCAGAGCCAGAGTAACTGCACATTTTAGATTGTGTTGGCAAGCAGGGACGATGACCTTTCTGACCTGCATCTCAAGGCTATTATTAATCGCTAAGTAACCTGGTAAAGCCAAACAAATTTGTTTCCATTGAAAGGATCTCTATCTGTGTCTGAGAATTTGTGCTGTACCAAACAAACCTCATTAACTCTGTCCATTTTTGACAAAGAACTAGGAGTTGGAGAGATTGGCGACCTTTCTTTGTCCTCGAGGTACAGATTTCAGAGTCACTACATGTAGGTACATAAGCATTTTTTACTAGGAAACTCTTTGTTCTATATCCATCAATCACAAACAAATGAATAAATAGACAATACATATGGTACCAACTTTGTTTTTTATTTTATGCCTCTTTACCCTCAATGTCAGAGTGTATGATCTGTGGTTTACATATTTAATACTATTCCTTTTTGATTAAAGAGCCTTCTATTCAGCTTTAGTACCCCTATCTACAACTAGTGAAATAATAATCAACATTCCTATATACTGAGGTACTTCTTCCTAACAGTGAATATGGAAGCTTTTTGATTTAGAACACAACTGGTGATGAAAACCCACAAATAATGTCAAAGATATAGAGTTGCATGGCAGAAATAATGATAATAATGATAATGGGATGCAAAATGTTTCCCGTTGTCATCAGTGGGAATTTACCAGATTGCTTTGAATGAATTATTAATAATCATTACTTGCTGTAATTAAATGAAGCCTAAGATACCTGTTGAAGTTCCATGTAATTCATGATCTTTTTAGACAGTGCTTTCACAATGATCATTCCTGAATATCACATATCCTCAGTAATATTTGTACCATAATCCATGTAAAAGTTTGAGATTTTTTAAGCAGTTACAAATAATTTTCAGCATACTTTTGCAGCAGACACATTTTGTCAGTTGTTCTAAAATATCTCTATCAGGCACTATACTGCCCTGTACAGTTGTACAGAACATGCAGACGATTCTGTCACAGGGATAATAGCTCCCAGGATGATTCCCTCCTGAGAGGCAGTACAAAATAAGTGGTATGCAGCAGTTCAAACATTGCTTGACTAGAAACATAGATATTTTAGCATAAATATAGTTTCAAGCTATTTGAACCTGAAACTTTCAATTCTTTTACCATACTTTCAAACATTTGAAAAGGAGCAACAAAAGCAAAGAATCTAAAGCAGTTAGATATGAATATACTATTTCACACATTAGCAGATTAATACTAACATGTCATGCACTATGCAGGGTTTTCACTGATGCCATACAGAAAATGTGTAGAAGTGATTCTAACGTAAACTTAACCTTCCAAATACAGCTAGAGTTCCACATAGCTTACATGGAAATGTGTTCATTGGGAAGTTTCATGCTTGGGCTCTTCTACACATATGCCTCCCCAGAGAAAATAAATCCAAGTTCTATTAAAGTCAATAGGAGATCATTGGAAATTAAATTATTTTTGGATTAAATCAGCACATTTCCTGCCAGTCTTCTCTTTGTTTGCAAATACGATGGGTTCATTGAGCAATATTTTCTTGGCATATATGGGTATCATCTCTGTGACATGAATACTAGCTGTGATGCATGACACTCTGTGGATTCTGGACCAATTTTGCATAAGGATGAACCTTTCCTGGTTCATGGTGAAGTGGGAGAAGGCAAATTGTTTGACCTGCTTTTTTAAAGCTTCAATAAATTTTGCAGGAGAAAAAGAGTTCTGTAACTGCAAAACATGTTGTAGGGTATTTGATCATCTCGTTCTATTTTTCCAAGCAATCTGTCTGTTGCATAGTTCATAGTTGCATACTTTTCCAGCAGTACTGGAAAAGTGCTGCTTATTAAAAAACTCAAGAATTGGGTAATTATTTTAGCACATAATCTTCTCTTTATCTTAAAGCCTATCTCAATATATTTACAGCATCTATTGCATCTCCCTACAAACCTGGCTTTCCGTTTAAGTTTAGTCCAATCAGACTTTTTTCCACACATATTTTTATGGAATAGCTTTGTAGGAAAATTATGTGGATATTTTAACAAGTGTAATGTTTTATCATGGTCCAAAAATTATTAAAGAAATCAGAAGAATATCAATGTTTACTACAGCAAATTGAGGATGCATTTTTTTACCAAAAACATGAATATAGTGGCTAACACAAAGTGTGTTGTCCTTGTCATAGGGAATGTTTCATGCTTTTGAAAATAGGGATAGGATTATCAACACACGTGCTCAAAATACAAAATTAAAAATGATCTTGTGTAACAAATCTGTTAAGTACCTACTGAATTGTTAATGATAAAATTACTTGCTCTATATAGTTCCAAAATAAAAAAAAATTCATCTGACAAGGTAAGTTATTGTTATTCTGACTCTTCATTATGCAGTAGGCAATGGTGTTGGTTCCTGCTATGAGATGCAAATTCAGTTGACAGTGCTCCTGCTGTCTGTATAAAGGTTAAGAATACACATATAATATTGTTCCTGGCACTTTTGGAAAGGTCTTCAAGTGATGATTTCAGTAGTATACAGATTTTAATAATTCTGCATGCAACTTCATCAGTTTAGAAATTCACATTGACCTATATTTATTAAGTTTATTGCATTCTGTTTGCATTTATATTGGCATTCTGTAGTCCTTTGGCCAAATAATATCACAAAATTATTATATTAGCTAAAGGAAAGGGCATCCCATAAAAACTAATAATCAGTATAGTTGCCTAGAGTATCCAGAAAAAGTATTAAGTTATTGTGATTTTAAACAGTTCAGACACCAAATCATAAAATTCCTGCATCAGAAGCAGTAGGCAACCTTAGCATACAAGGAGATAACCTAAATGTATTTTATCTTCCTGACTATATATCATTCTGCCTGCTCAAATACAGAATATGGAAGGTAAAATAAAATTAGTGAGACAATAATTTTTAGTATACCACTGCATGCCACTGGATTTAACGTCATATTGGTGTAGGTGAGAATGGAATATAACCTGCCATGATAATATTGTTTGGCTTAATCAATTAAATTTAGGAAAA